TCCATCCACACAGAAGGAATGTGAGTGAGTGTTGTTTTATCAACATTATCAGTATACAAGCATGGATGAGGCAGGGGGCGACCAGCTCTATCCATCCACACAGGGGGAATGTGAGTGAGTGTTGTTTTATCAACATTATCAGTATACAAGCATGGATGAGGCAGGGGATGACCGGCTCTATCCATCCACACAGGGGGAATGTGAGTGAGTGTTGTATTATCAACATTATCAGTATACAAGCATGGATGAGGCAGGGGATGACCGGCTCTATCCATCCACACAGAAGGAATGTGAGTGAGTGTTGTATTATCAACATTATCAGTATACAAGCATGGATGAGGCAGGGGATGACCGGCTCTATCCATCCACACAGGGGGAATGTGAGTGAGTGTTGTTTTATCAACATTATCAGTATACAAGCATGGATGAGGCAGGGGATGACCGGCTCTATCCATCCACACAGGGGGAATGTGAGTGAGTGTTGTTTTATCAACATTATCAGTATACAAGCATGGTTCAGGCAGGGGATGACCGGCTCTATCCATCCACACAGAAGGAATGTGAGTGAGTGTTGTATTATCAACATTATCAGTATACAAGCATGGATGAGGCAGGGGATGACCGGCTCTATCCATCCACACAGAAGGAATGTGAGTGAGTGTTGTTTTATCAACATTATCAGTATACAAGCATGGATGAGGCAGGGGATGACCGGCTCTATCCATCCACACAGGGGGAATGTGAGTGAGTGTTGTATTATCAACATTATCAGTATACAAGCATGGATGAGGCAGGGGATGACCGGCTCTATCCATCCACACAGAAGGAATGTGAGTGAGTGTTGTTTTATCAACATTATCAGTATACAAGCATGGATGAGGCAGGGGATGACCGGCTCTATCCATCCACACAGAAGGAATGTGAGTGAGTGTTGTATTATCAACATTATCAGTATACAAGCATGGATGAGGCAGGGGATGACCGGCTCTATCCATCCACACAGGAGGAATGTGAGTGAGTGTTGTTTTATCAACATTATCAGTATACAAGCATGGTTCAGGCAGGGGATGACCGGCTCTATCCATCCACACAGAAGGAATGTGAGTGAGTGTTATATTATCAACATTATCAGTATACAAGCATGGATGAGGCAGGGGATGACCGGCTCTATCCATCCACACAGGGGGAATGTGAGTGAGTGTTGTATTATCAACATTATCAGTATACAAGCATGGAGGAGGCAGGGGATGACCGGCTCTATCCATCCACACAGAAGGAATGTGAGTGAGTGTTGTTTTATCAACATTATCAGTATACAAGCATGGATGAGGCAGGGGGCGACCAGCTCTATCCATCCACACAGGGGGAATGTGAGTGAGTGTTGTTTTATCAACATTATCAGTATACAAGCATGGATGAGGCAGGGGATGACCGGCTCTATCCATCCACACAGAAGGAATGTGAGTGAGTGTTGTTTTATCAACATTATCAGTATACACACATTGATGAGGCAGGGGATGACCGGCTCTATCCATCCACACAGGAGGAATGTGAGTGAGTGTTGTTTTATCAACATTATCAGTATACAAGCATGGATGAGGCAGGGGATGACCGGTTCTATCCATCCACACAGAAGGAATGTGAGTGAGTGTTGTTTTATCAACATTATCAGTATACAAGCATGGATGAGGCAGGGGATGACCGGCTCTATCCATCTACACAGGAGGAATGTGAGTGAGTGTTGTTTTATCAACATTATCAGTGTACACACATGGATGAGGGAGGGGATGACCGGCTCTATCCATCCACACAGAAGGAATGTGAGTGAGTGTTGTTTTATCAACATTATCAGTATACACACATGGATGAGGGAGGGGATGACCGGCTCTATCCATCCACACAGGGGGAATGTGAGTGAGTGTTGTTTTATCAACATTATCAGTATACACACATGGATGAGGGAGGGGATGACCGGCTCTATCCATCCACACAGAAGGAATGTGAGTGAGTGTTGTTTTATCAACATTATCAGTATACAAGCATGGATGAGGCAGGGGATGACCAGCTCTATCCATCCACACAGGAGGAATGTGAGTGAGTGTTGTTTTATCAACATTATCAGTATACAAGCATGGTTCAGGCAGGGGATGACCGGCTCTATCCATCTACACAGGGGGAATGTGAGTGAGTGTTGTATTATCAACATTATCAGTATACAAGCATGGTTCAGGCAGGGGATGACCGGCTCTATCCATCCACACAGAAGGAATGTGAGTGAGTGTTGTTTTATCAACATTATCAGTATACAAGCATGGATGAGGCAGGGGATGACCGGCTCTATCCATCCACACAGGGGGAATGTGAGTGAGTGTTGTTTTATCAACATTATCAGTGTACACACATGGATGAGGCAGGGGATGACCGGCTCTATCCATCTACACAGAAGGAATGTGAGTGAGTGTTGTTTTATCAACATTATCAGTATACAAGCATGGATGAGGCAGGGGATGACCGGCTCTATCCATCCACACAGGGGGAATGTGAGTGAGTGTTGTTTTATCAACATTATCGGTATACAAGCATGGATGAGGCAGGGGATGACCGGCTCTATCCATCCACACAGAAGGAATGTGAGTGAGTGTTGTTTTATCAACATTATCAGTATACAAGCATGGATGAGGCAGGGGATGACCGGCTCTATCCATCCACACAGAAGGAATGTGAGTGAGTGTTGTTTTATCAACATTATCAGTATACAAGCATGGTTCAGGCAGGGGATGACGGGCTCTATCCATCCACACAGAACGAATGTGAGTGAGTGTTGTTTTATCAACATTATCAGTATACAAGCAGTATCACATTCACACAACAAAGGACACCTTTGTGGGGAACCAAACTCAGGTCGTCAGTGTGAGAGGTGAACACTTGAACCACTTACACATATCTACCCAATGAGGAACAGTGCAGTTAGGCTTTAAAAAATTGGTTCTCAGGCAATGGTTTTTGAAAATATAGTGTGGACGGACTATTTGAAGATTTATTTATTTTATTGAAATTTTATTAAAATGGAAATAAAAACGAAACGTGCAGTGAACGTTATGCCTGAGAACCAAGCCTTAATGAACTTAATGCCTGAGAATCAAGACTTAATGAACATGTGACTGTGAATGTTGGTTTGGGTCAACTAGTCTGCAGAGTAATGGATTACGAGGAAGGTATTAAAAGAATTATTATCATGTCTTTCCAAACCTATACTCAGCATCATTATAACAGGGTCACCTAGATATGGAGAATGACAAATATGAACATACGCCAACAAGCATCAATAGGTCGGAGTATGTTGACAGTGTGATCAACACTTGAAGGAAATGTTGTTTATGCCTGATTGGATGCTTCTATGAAAGTGGAAAAATGGACGACAATCAAAAACACTGCAAGACTACAGATAGAAAAAGCTTACAAAAACACACACCTGAATGCAAACCAGTGGTGTAGCCCATGCACGTGCAATTCATGACAAGTAACAGTCTATGTGGGTATAAAATGGTTCATTCCAGATGCAAGTGAACTGCATTCTTAGACGTTTAAAAAAACAATGTTTCTTTAATACTTTTATCTCTTATTATCTGCATGACCCCTGAAAAATGATGCTGAGTATATATATAGAATACTTAACGAGCTCCCGTTAAATACCAATTTTAGGAAACGAGTGAATAGTTCTGGTATCTGACGAGCGAAAGCGAGTCAGATACCACAACTATTCTCGAGTTTAAAAAAAATGGTTTTACATTGGGGCGAGTTTAGTATTTTATTTATTACTTGTCATTTATACTGTTGATCGTGAATAGGCTGACACCTACATGATCCACGGCACAATCTAATTGAGTTCAACAGAATAAAACTTCAAACATGTCAAAAGTTGAAACGTATGAATTTAATACCATACAACGGTACACCTATAGAATTCAGGCGTCCGTTCCATAAAATTATCGTAGCGCTAAGGTTATCGCAACTCACATACTTTAACTTAGACTAACGACTGCTGTTGCGCCACATACGATCGCACCTCAAAGTTTACAATCACGTCACCATACCAGATGACGTAATTTGTGGAATTTTGTTGCAAGATCCATCGGCGAAACAATGCCATGTGACGTCAGCCTAGCAACAAGGTATCTGTTCAATTTTTGTTCGTGAAATGTGTTTCCGGTGTACATAAGCACGCGTTTTGGTATTACACAATGTGTAATACAGCTGTATGTTTATTAAACAGGTGATCTCTTCACGGGCAAGTAATAAATCAAGCATCTTCCCGAGGCAAGAGAGTTAACTGACTATAAAAGTCCAGTTTCCACCCTTGCCGAACTAGGCTGGTATTATGGAGTTATATTTTGGCTGGACTAATGAGTCTATGCATAGTCCAATCAAAATCGCGCACCGAAATCGAAATCCGGTTCGTAAACTGTCGTGCAGATTTCGGTTCATTGCAGGATTTGCAAAGCATGTGCACAGCCAACTCGTCAGCAGATATTTTCCAAATCATTTCATGTTTTTAATCAAGGTGCTCACGTGATTTGATGCATTTCGCGATGTAAGACCCGTTTTATCACAATATAGATCTTGATTATCGATCAGATCGTCCTGACTCGGCGCCACCATTTTGTGTGAAACAAACGCAAGTGATGCGAGAGGTGGAATCTGATTGGTCCATAGGTGAGGCTTAGAAGGGACATAACTGGTAATAGCCACTTGTGGCGCTACGGTCAAGCCCAGTTATTCCATCCTAGTTCGGCAAGGGTGGAAACTGGACTTTTAAAGTCAGTTAAATCTCTTGCCTCGGGAAGATGTAAAACAAGATACTTAAAGAACATGCAAGTTTTCTGTATACAGTACAATGTAACCATGGTTACACCTGCTATATTTTGACCATCATTGACAATCAATCAAGCAGCTTCACCGGCAGTCCTTGAACAACCAATGTACAAGCGCTGTCAACTCACCCACGTAAACAATTTCAATATAGCAGACTGTCGGAGAGCTGTGGTCAAGTTATAATCCTCCGAGCTGTGGTGGGCTTGATGACCAGCCCACAGCAGGTTAACCTCTGCAACACAACATCACCATAGCAACATATCCATCTAACTGTCAAGCAACATACCCATCTGACATTTAAACAACCATCACCATAGCAACATACCCATCTGACTGTCAAACGACGATCACCATAGCAACATGCCCTTCAAACATTTAAATGACCATCACCATAGCAACATACCTATCTGACTGTTAAATGACTATCACCATAGCAACATACCCATCTGACTGTCAAACAACCATTATCATAGCATCATACCCGTCTAACTGTCAAACGACCATCACCATAGCAACATACCCATCTGACTGTCAAACAACCAACACCATAGCAACATACCCATCAGACTGTTAAATGACTATCACCATAGCAACATACCCATCTGACTGTCAAACGACCATCACCATAGCAACATACCCGTCTAACTGTCAAACGACCATCGCCATAGCAACATACCCATCTGACTGTCAAACAACCATTATCATAGCAACATACCTGTCTAACTGTCAAACAACCATCACCATAACAACATACCCATGTGACAGTCAAAGAATCATCACCATAGCAACATACCCATCAGACATTTAAATGACCATCATCAAAGCAACATACCCATCTGACTGTCAAACAACCATCATCATAGCAACATACCCATCTGACTGTCAAACAACCATCACCATAGCAACATACCCATCTGACTGTCAAACGGCCACCATCATAGCAACATATCCATCTAACAGTCAAATGACCATCACCATAGCAACACACCCATCTGACTGTCAAATGACCATAAACATAGCAACATATCCATCTAACAGTCAAATGACCATCACCACAGCAACACACCCATCTGACTGTCAAACGACCATCACCATAGCAACATCCCCGTCAGACAGTCAATCAGTCATCATCATAGCAACACACCCATCTAACAGTCAAACGACCATCATCAAAGCAACATAGAAACAAACGTCAAATTAGGCAATTGTACATTGATTTTTAACTTACCCACAATTCACATTCATTTGCCAAAACAACATTATTCCAAATGCTCTTTGGTGTCAGTCCAACCAGCATTGTGACTCAACAAGATGACAGTTAAGCACAGCAGCGATGTACAAATTTGTTCAACTTGTAAACATGGTAAATATTACTAAAGATAGGATTTGGGAAATGGTCACTTGAACAACTGTGAGCACTGTGAAATCCAGTTATCCAGCTATGTACCAGGTAGTAGAAATCTACTCACCATGCCAACAGCAATGTACCTTGTAGTAGATGTCTACTCACCACGCCAACAGTGATGTACCCAGTAGTAGATGTCAACTCACTACGCCAACATCAATGTACCCAGTAGTAGATGTCAACTCACCACGCCAACAGCAATGTACTCAGGAGTAGATGTCTACTCACCATGCCCACAGCAATGTATCCAGTAGTAGTTGTCTACTCACAATGCCAACAGCAATGTATCCAGTAGTAGATGTCTACTCACCACGCCAACAGCAATGTACTCAGGAGTAGATGTCTACTCACCATGCCCACAGCAATGTACCAGTAGTAGTTGTCTACTCACAATGCCCACAGTGATGGACCAGGTAGTAGATGTCTACTCACCATGCCAACAGCAATGTACCTAGGAGTAGATGTCTACTCACCATGCCCACAGCAATGTATCCAGTAGTAGTTGTCTACTCACAATGCCAACAGCAATGTATCTAGTAGTAGATGTCTACTCACCATGCCCACAGTGATGGACCAGGTAGTAGATGTCTACTCACCATGCCCACAGCAATGTACCCAGTTGTAGATGTCTACTCACCATGCCCACATCAATGTACTCAGTAGTAGATGTCTACTCACCATGCCCACAGCAATATATCCAGTAGTAGATGTCTAATCACCATGCCCACAGCAATGTACCTAGGAGTAGATGTTTACTCACCATGCCCACAGTGATGGACCAGGTAGTAGATGTCTACTCACTATGCCCACAGCAATATATCCAGTAGTAGATGTCTAATCACCATGCCCATAGCAATGTACCTAGGAGTAGATGTCTACTCACCATGCCCACATCAATGTACTCAGTAGTAGATGTCTACTCACCATGCCCACAGTGATGGACCCAGTAGTAGATGTCTACTCACCATGCCCACAGCAATGTACCTAGGAGTAGATGTTTACTCACCATGCCCACAGTGATAGACCCAGTAGTAGATGTCTACTCACTACGCCACAAGCAATGTACCCAGTAGTAGATGTCTACTCACCATGCCCACAGCAATGTATCCAGTAGTAGATGTCTACTCACCATGCCAACAACAATGTATCCAGTAGTAGTTGTCTACTCACCATGCCCACAGTGATGGAACAGGTAGTAGATGTCTACTCACCATGCCCACAGCAATGTATCAGTAGTAGATGTCTACTCACCATGCCAACAGCGATGTACCCAGTAGTAGATATCTACTCACCATGCCCATAGCAATGTACCTAGGAGTAGATGTCTACTCACCATGCCCACATCAATGTACTCAGTAGTAGATGTCTACTCACCATGCCCACAGTGATGGACCCAGTAGTAGATGTCTACTCACCATGCCCACAGCAATGTACCTAGGAGTAGATGTTTACTCACCATGCCCACAGTGATAGACCCAGTAGTAGATGTCTACTCACTACGCCACAAGCAATGTACCCAGTAGTAGATGTCTACTCACCATGCCCACAGCAATGTATCCAGTAGTAGATGTCTACTCACCATGCCAACAGCAATGTATCCAGTAGTAGTTGTCTACTCACCATGCCCACAGTGATGGACCAGGTAGTAGATGTCTACTCACCATGCCCACAGCAATGTATCAGTAGTAGATGTCTACTCACCATGCCAACAGCGATGTACCCAGTAGTAGATATCTACTCACCATGCCCATAGCAATGTACCCAGTAGAAGTTGTCTACTCACCATGCCCACAGCAATGTACCCAGTAGTAGATGTCTACTCACCATGCCAACAATGATGGACCCAGTAGTAGATGTCTACTCACCATGCCCACAGCCATGTACCCAGGAGTAGATGTCTACTCACCATGCCCATAGCAATGTACCCAGTAGAAGTTGTCTACTCACCATGCCCACAGCAATGTACCCAGTAGTAGATGTCTACTCACCATGCCAACAATGATGGACCCAGTAGTAGATGTCTACTCACCATGCCCACAGCCATGTACCCAGTAGTAGATATCTACTCACCATGCCCATAGCAATGTACCCAGTAGAAGTTGTCTACTCACCATGCCCACAGCAATGTACCCAGTAGTAGATGTCTACTCACCATGCCAACAATGATGGACCCAGTAGTAGATGTCTACTCACCATGCCCACAGCAATGTACCCAGTAGTAGATGTCTACTCACCATGCCAACAATGATGGACCCAGTAGTAGATGTCTACTCACCATGCCCACAGCAATGTACCCAGTAGTAGATGTCTACTCACCATGCCAACAATGATGGACCCAGTAGTAGATGTCTACTCACCATGCCCACAGCCATGTACCCAGGAGTAGATGTCTACTCACCATGCCCACAGCAATGTACCCGGTACTAGATGATGTCTACTCACCATGCCCACAGCGATGTACCCAGTAATAGCCGAAATCAACTCCGAGGAAGCCGAGCAGCCATGTCCATGGAGAGTTCCAGGGAAGAGAGATGAGGAAGAAGCGGTCATACACCCAGATGTAGCACACCAGCTCCACCGCCCGAAACAACAGCCTACAGGACAAAGTACTCCACAAATCATACAGTGTTGTTATTTAGGTGAAGGATTGTTTGTTTACTTGAACACCAATCAACCCGATTCCAGTACCCATTATAAGCATGATAATAAGCAGGAGTAGCATTTCTTGGCTTAATGAGTGAACTTGATTATGGGAGCTGTGTTCCCTTTTTAGGAACCGTGAACGTTATGAAAATATTTGTCACATGGGCTTTCTCAGCCGACCATTGAGACTTGACACCTATGTAAAACACCTGAAACAATCCAAGTGATCAGTTGAGAAACGAACACGGGTTATAATATCCCGAAACAACATATATCTTTTAAAATATTTGATTGTTACTGAGACACGTGACATCGAATAAGTTTCTTTGTACATCTGCAGACGAGTTGGATATTGTTCCTTTGTGTGAATATTCACGGATACATTCCTCGAACAAGGACGCTGCCTAAAATTTATACACATAAATTTGGTAGGTTGTAATTATGATATTTGCATTTTGTTTTCCTTCATTTGAACCGATTTGTTCTTGTTTCTCTACGTCTTGGTTGGGAAATTCTTCAATGCGCGATAGACGTTGTTTTCACAGGTCTTTTCCTTTGTCAGCGTGTATATATTACCGTCAATTTGTAAAATGTAATTCTCTCAGGCAATTTATAAAATGTGTAAATATTTCAGTTATTTTGACTAAAAAATCTGTCCAGATTGATTAAGACGATCAAAAGGGCCTACAAACATCACAACAGATTATTATGTAGGATTAGAAGCCAAACAAGATAGAAATGTACTTTTCTCAACGTAACATTTTCAGTCTCTTGGTGATGACATTAAACATCAATATGTTTGGAATTCGTTATCATAATAATACAGATGGAAATGTTTTTCAGTCACTTTGTAAAATAACTGAATATTTAGATGTTTAATAAATTTGTTACACATTTGACAGTAAAAAAAAATACACACTATAAAAAAAGCAATGCTCAGGTGAAATATGTACTTTGTGTTGCAAGTCAAAATAGTGTAAACGAAAATCGCAAAATTACCAAGCAAGTGACTTATCAAAACTTCGTCACCATTACCGATGCTACCCACAAAGATACCTACATTTCCTTATTATCTCGAAAACTGTATTTCATTTTGTTCATCAATGTGACCATACGCCCTTATTACTACCCATAAAAGCGACTAATGCGCTTACGAATGGCGCAGCAGAGGTCGCGAACTAGTCTAGATTTCTGCTACACATCCGGGTACTCACTGGGAAAAAACAATAACAAAGGCAACAACCAGTCCCGGGGAATTGCGTTAGATCAGTGCCCCTTTAATCACAGAATATGTGTATCGCAGTGACACCCAGAAAACACATGCCTATCCTCATCTACTACCTAGTAGTGTACTGGCAGCTGTTTTGCAAAATAGGCCTTGTGGGTTGTCTGGCATAGGGGTTGTGTCTGTGACACTGTCATAAGTTTGTTTCTTGTTTAACGCCGCACTCAGTAATATTCCAGCTATATGATGGGGGTCTGTAAATAATCACGTCTGGACCAGACAATCCAGTGATTAACATCATCAGCATTGATCCATGCAATCAACCAAGTCAGCGAGCCTGACCACCCTGTGCCGTTAGTCGCCTCTTCTGACAGGCACAGTCGCCTTTTGCGGCAAGCATGGGTTGCTGAAGACCTATTCTACCCCGGATCTTCACGGGTCACACTGTCATAAGTAAATAACTTCCTATTATGCATACATATCAACTCCAGCAATTACATAGAGAATCTCACCCGAGTGTCTTTTGATATCAAATATATCAACACGAGTTGATAAAAGTGGAAAAATTCCGAGGCTTGCCGAGGATTTTTGCCACTTTTATCAACGAGTGTTGAATTATTTGATATCAAAAGACACTCGGGTGAGATTTTATTTATCATCCAACATCATTCTTTCAACTTTTTCAATTTGTAGACAGTAATTAGCAGTGTCTTCAGTGTAAAAAGTACTGCAAACAGCTTCAGTAGCAGAGCCATTAGTGATGTCATTTGATTGTGACGTCATGGTAACCAGTGACGTCACAATGGTCTGCAAAGTATTGTGATGTAATTTGATTGCAGCGATATCTACAGTGTAGATATCACGTGATCTCATCCAAGCGATATCTCCTGTGGGAGCCAGTTTTGGATGATAAATAAAATTCTTGGTTGACGTATTTCTGATGTTAACATGTTAAAACTAGTAACCTTACAGTTGTACAATGATTATGGAGCCTTACACCACACAGGAATAAACATGAAATAAAGCAAACTAACCATCATTACAATTATATTACAGAATATACATGATATAGTTTCAGCCTACTTCAACATGGTTCTGACAAGAATCAATTCTAACCTTGGCAAATTGAACCATTTCTTTCTGTATGTAACACAATACTTATGACCCACCCATGAAGTAGTGACAGTAGTCCTGCGCTGATTGAGCTGAACGCGTCGTTGGCTCGGGGGAGTTGCTTCCCTTGTGCTGCTAGCACCACCACCTCCAGTCCCATCAGGAGCACGAAGTAGGGAATTGCCTGGCGGAACACAAAACACAATGAGTGAGTGAGTGAGTTGGGTTTAACGCCGCTTTTAACAGTATTCCTGTTATATCACGGCCACCCGTGCCCCCCAAAACACAATGAAGCTGGACTGTAACCATATGACAGATGAATCATTGTGAAACAGGGAGTGATACACAAAACAGCTGAGGTGGGGTCAAATGGGGTTTAAGGTTGCAATCAGACTTATCCTACTTATATTGTGACATGCTGGCACATGAGTCAGTGGCTGCTTATAATAGTCCTGACTGATATGTTGGTTTTATAGTGCCAGCCCACTGAGGTTCCTTGCCAAATAGCTCAACATTGACACCCCACTCAGACACAGTATACTAACTTTGAGCCGGAAAAGATTTCCGCCCTTATCCCCCCTTAAAAAGGTTTTTACAGCATGCCTCTTCAAACTATATAGGGAGGGGTACAGGCGGAAGTCTTACCGATCATTAAACCTTTCTGGTATTAATTTACAATGAGGGTCAAAGGTTATTTTTCTGAAAAAAGAACTATCATTCTGGAAATGGAACACGTTCAAATAAACCTTAATTCTTTCCACGCAAAAAGGTGAGTATTATATAAGCCATTTAATAGTATTAGTAATTTAATTTAAATTGATCATGTGCTATTTTAGCAATATTCCAAACAGGCTACAAAATACTAGCTCAGTCCGGAATCGGTGTCAGGAGCTTAGCGTCCTGGTCAGCTGAAAATATCACATGTCATCACAACAGAGTCGATGTCAACGTGAGGACTTCTGACACAGTGTCTGATTCATCCTACGTACTTCTGTCACATATTCAGGCACTTCTTCCACCGTCTCAAAAGATGTCTCGTTCGGCGTGCTGAGATACAGCAGCCTCCTGGGTCTCTCTGACAGCTTCTGTACGATCTCCATGTCTCTGTTATCTATCTACAGGTATCAACGTCAACATTTAACAGACCAAAGTCCAGCTGATCATAAACAATAACAAACACACGTGACATCACCGGATATGTCAATGGCTACACTGACGCATGCGCACCAACGTGTCTTTCGGTAGACTGGGCTCTGTCTACAATAAAGCGGTAAGCTTGCAAGCGCGCACCATTAATTAGCCTTTCCGTCGGTAAAATAAACCTTTCGCTCAAACATCAGTTTTAGAATTAGGCGTTTGTATTATGCTACCTTCGTCAAACGCGATATTTTGCGTTTCTATTTCAAGTGGTGAGAACTAGGCTATATACCCACTGACCACAAAACTATTCGGTCAAAGTTTCAACCCCCACCCCACCTCAACCCCACCTGTTCTTTGAGTCACCATCAACACATCAACATATATGTGTGTGTGTGTATGTGTCTGCATGTGTGTATGTATGTATGTATGTGTGTGTGTGTGTGTGTATGTATGTCTGCATGTGTGTGTATGTATGTCTGCATGTGTGTGTGTGTGTGTGTGTGCGTGCGTGTGTGTGTGTGTGTGTGTTTATCACGGGTTCGATTCCCCATATGGGTACACTGTGTAAACGTTGCCATTATAATTTCAGTGAATTTTATCGTGGTCTATTCCTTGTTTCTCTCCAGATTTGACGTATTTCTATTTTACGACAAATTTAAACAAATTTTGTCCCGGTGCATCATCGACCTGGGGTCATGGGTAGGACAAACGCCCCGACTATAACAGCCCGGCCACACCGTGCAGGGCGACCCCAGTCTACAGGAATAAGTAGTCGAGCTTCACACTTATAACAAAACGTAATGTCGCTTTATTTAGCACTTTTTAGTGTCGAGTAATTTCTATTAATAATCTAGAAAAACGAATCGTACTTACAACACTGCGTCCAAAGTAAAAAACGCAATTACTGTTACCCATTCGTCCCCATATTACTTTTTACGGGCATTTATCGCAGAGGACATAATCTTGCAGTTCTGTTTATTTTAAGGAAATGACAAAAACGATATACGGCCAAAGAGTGGTTTTGTTTATGACGGTCTACCCATCAATAGATCATTGCAATGGTATCTGTGTATATGCGTATGTTTGTATACTTATGACAAGAAAAACATAGAGCAAGGAACTTCTTTAGAGAAAATGAATGATCTCGACATGACATCGAATATCTTGTCCAGACTCGGTCAGGGCATTTACGTGCGCTTCCATCGGTCACCCTTTTAGCTGTTTTCATTCCGTTCCGCTATGTTCTTGAAAGGCTATGGGTGGTGATGTATATACAGGGGCTGCGGCGTCCTTAATGTCCCTTACATCCAGCTGCATTTACTGAACAGAGAGTTATCCGTGCACAGTCGTCCTGGGAAGATGATGTATGCACGTGCTGTTATTCATCATAATTAAGTTCATCATCGTGTTGCATGTACAACTACAGCGGCCTCTGACTCTGTCTGATCGCAACGCCACACCCGCAACTGAAACGCCCATATAAAAGATATACATTTGTGTTTGTTTCATCCTTATTCCTCTTGAGTATTCATGTAACATTCAGTTGTCATGTTTGAAACTGTTACCAAAACTTATAGATGTGCTCGTAAAATCACCATGACCTGGCGCTTTGAGTGTGGTGATCAAGTTTTGATGCTTCCTTGCCAGATTGCTCTGCTGCAGCGATTAAGCAATGACAGAACGTGTTTTGTGAGATATAGACTATTTTTTTCAAGCCGTAAATTATTTTATCTCTGGAAGGAAGGGGTAGTTAAACTACCTTTGTGTTTGTGCGTGCGTGCGTGCGTGTGTGTGTGTGTGTGTGTGTGTGCGCGTGCGTGCGTGCGTGCTGCCAATGAACAATCAAAAGTATTTTCCCCTTAAGAGGTATTTACGTATAAAACTCACGTGCTAATGAACTAGTTGGACTGCATGAGACATGGTGGTGGTGCTTGTACACATAGGTAAGCTTAGTTTTATGGATAATGTGTTTATGAACAAGTGAGGACAAATTCAGTGGAATATTTGTTCCTGATCATTCTATGTCATCACTGTTCGCGGCATTATTAATAGTTCTGTTCACCAGCACAATATGTACTCACTGTATCACAAACATGTTTACGATTACTTCAACCCATTTCCCTCCATGTGAGTGAGTGAGTTGGGTTTAACGCCGCTTTTAACAGTATTCCAGTTATATCACGGCGTTCCCTCCATGTGATCATCACGTGAAACACTGCAGTGTCTGCTAGTGTCTGCTACACACATGTGCTTGATGACTGGACAGCAGTTTACTGTTACATTTGCTTGATGACTGGACAGCAGTTTACTGTTACATGTGCTTGATGACTGGACAGCAGTGTACTGTTACGTGTGCTTGATGACTGGACAGCAGTGTACTGTTACATGAGCTTGATGACTGGACAGCAGTTTACTGTTACATGTGCTTGATGACTGGACAGCAGTTTACTGTTACATGTGCTTGATGACTGGACAGCAGTGTACTGTTACATGTGCTTGATGAATGGACAGCAGTTTACTGTTACGTGTGCTTGATGACTGGACAGCAGTGTACTGTTACGTGTGCTTGATGAATGGACAGCAGTTTACTGGTACATGTTCTTGATGACTGGACAGCAGTGTACTGTTACATGTGCTTGATGAATGGACAGCAGTGTACTGTTACGTGTGCTTGATGACTGGACAGCAGTTTACTGTTACATGTGCTTGTTACATTTATTATACCCTCGACAGTTACACAAGTCAGATGTATGTTCTGACTTCCGCTGCACTCCCAAGTATACGCGCACTTCAACCAGCGTTCAAAACATAAACTGCCGGGAAAAAAATAAAAGTTACACGTGAAAATTGGATTTGACCAAAATATTACAAAAAGTTATCAAAACGTTTACTTGGCCGAAAACAGTCGCCGAAACACTGCAAACAAAAACACAGCCATCATTACACAACCCGTATCAAATACATCACCATCGAATAACCATTTCTTGTTTGTTTAAGTTTTTAAGTCACCATTAAACGTGTGTGTGTGTGTGTCTTCTTTTTTAGGCCACTTGACCATCTGTACAGCAAACACGGGTGAAGAAAGGGTGACAAAACTTCTCTTTTTAAAGTTTGTTGTTGATTTTATTGATGTTGATGATAATTGAATCTAAAATATTCAATCTAACCAATTAGAGGTGGCTATATTAGGGGCATTCAGCGGTAGTGCAATAGCTTAAAGTACTCTTGCGATACTGTTGAAATAGTATTTCTGTAGTATGATAAAAACATTCATCTAGATTTTTTTGCAATATTTGGGTGATCCAATCCTCTAAGGCAACGGAATTCGCTGTGCAGAGTTGCGTCCCTTGGGCACGCCAGAAACCTATGCTCGTGGGTTCGAAACCCGGTTCGTCCTGATTATATGTTTCTATGTTTGTCAGCACCATACCCGTGCTTGTGGGTTTCACCGAAGTGGTAAACGTCTGAAATCTACGTCACTTCGGGCTTTCCTCCCACATTAACCTGATACGTCGTAATATAATTGAAATACTCTTCAAAGCGGCGTTTAACCTAACTCACTCACTCACTCCCAATTGTATTATCTTACATCAAAGCCAAATATCTCTGCCATAATGTAGGTTCACTGGAATGGTAGAAAGGTTGATCGGTGTTAAGAATGACTGAGTATGGTCTAACGCCCTTTTTAACAATATTCCTGAAAGGGGAATTACACATTGTACCCATCTGGGGAATCGTATGCGGGCCTTCGGCGTGACGAGCTAACGTGTGAACCACTTGGCTACCCCACTGCTCCGGGATCTAAGAGTGGTAACTCTGATTATTGTCTGATTAACTTAAAACTTGTTTTGAATGGATACCAACATGTCTCTCCAAATAAGGTGTATTTGTTATGAGAAAAATGAGTGAATTTAATGACTATTCGACGATCGTTTCATCTGATACCGCCTGTCGCTATTCTCTGTAATGAAGGTTAGAATCGATTGTAGCTATATGTTTTAAGTTGCCAGTGTGGTATTGCCATCGGCCCAACCGCTGCATGTGTATACCTGGTTTGGGTCAACCCAGTGCTTTTGAATCCCCACGTTTGAAACTGGACTCAGCATTACAGACACTAAGAAGCTGTGATAAAGGTGGTCACACCCAAGCAATGTTCCATCTACCTTCCCCTTCCTCTCACACACTACTACAAGAAACACACACATACACACACAGGCACACACACACACATACACACACTGTCTTTCCCTCACACTCTACCTCAAGACACACACACTGCACTGCCTTACCCTCACACACTACCAGAAGAAACACACACACACTGCACTGCCTTACCATCACACACTACCACGAGACACACACTGCACTGCCTTACCCTCACACACTACCACAGGACACACACTGTACTGCCTTACCCTAACACACTACCACAAGACACACACACACACTGCACTGCCTTACCATCACACACTACCAGAAGACACACACACACACACTGCACTGCCTTACCCTCACACACTACCACAAGACACACACTGCACTGCCTTACCCTCACACACTACCACGAGACACACACTGTACTGCCTTACCCTCACACACTACCACAAGACACACACTGCACTGCCTTACCCTCACACACTACCACAAGACACACACTCCACTGCTTTACCATCACACACTACCACGAGACACACACTCTACTGCCTTACCCTCACACTCTACCTCAAGAAACATACTGTACTGCCTTACCCTCACACTCTACCTCAAGACACACACTGTACAGCCTTACCCTCACACACTACCACAAGACACACACTGCACTGCCTTACCCTCACACACTACCACCAGAGACACACTCCACTTCTTTACCATCACACACTACAACGAGACACACACTGTACTGCCTTACCCTCACACTCTACCTCAAGACACACACTGTACTGCCTTACCCTCACACTCTACCTCAAGACACACACTGTACTGCCTTACCCTCACACATTACAAGACACACTGTACAGCCTTACCCTCACACTCTACTACAAGACACACACATACACA